CATTGTTGTGACCAGACCTCTTCCTTCCTCACCACTTAACCACAATGCCAGGCAATTTTCTGTTTTACCTGTCATTTTGCTCCTTTTGATTTTTGACATTGAAGAGACATTTCACGTTTCTTCTCCATTCTCTTGACAATACCCCTTGTTTAAATCTCTTCCCCAAGGTTAGCTAAAACTTTACGGAAGGGGCTTAACCTGGCCTATGTCTGGCCTTCAAAAGTGCTATTGGCCTAATTTCAGTAAGATGAGCTGTCCCTTTAAAAAGGAAAAAATTCCTTCCTGCTCCGCAGTTACAGTCCTTAGTGCCAAAAGGAGATTCCATTCCTCACCTGCCCTGACACAGAGCCTTTCCATCCGGGAGCCAACGGGCACTTTGTGTGCTTATGATTGTGTTACCTCTGGTCAGTCCTTCTGGGATTAGGGAAACAATTTTCACAGGATTTTGAAGCAAGATCATCAAGCCTGTCTACTCAAAGTCATTCACAAAGTGCTTATTAAGACCTGGTGATAACGTCCAGTCTTATACTGGCTCTGAAGATAATCATCTTTGTCCAGAGAAATCAGGTAAGTTGATATCAACTCTTCTACATCTTGGTTTCACGTGTACTTGGATAAAACTGTGCTATTAGTGCTCTGTGGGAATGTAGCAAATGGGATGTATTTTTATTATATGATTGCTTAAATTTGCATACAATAAATCTGATCTTAAAATGTAGTTGTAGCAACATAATGAAGCACGTGATAGTAACAGACATATTTTCATATTAACACGGAATATTTCTTTAGACCTGGTGTATCACGGTGTGCTTAAAATGAGAGATGACCTTTAGATGTTGGAACTGAATGAAGGTAAGGAAATTAATACTCAAGGACTTTCCTTTTTTTATTTCTTTGGTCTCTTAACTTCTGTTCTTCTCCATTTAGCATGCAGATACAGGAAAACTACTTGACATCTGATTGCACTCTGTACAGGAAAAATAAAAATTCAAACGTCATTATTACCTGCCACATTAAGATTAGTGGCAAATGAAGCATAGCTAATAAGCACGTTGGTTTAAGATTGCTGTTAATCTGGAATAACAAATAAGTATTTAATAAGAGGTCTTCATGGGTGTATAAAGGTAATCTGAACTGGATTAAAATCTCTAATTCAGCAGCTCAGGGAACTCTGGATCAACAGTTCAAAGTAAAATGAGTTCTATTAGCCTCGTTCAGCTTAAACACAAGAGGAGGATTGTCACATCCAGTAGAAATAAAGGAGAATTTGCAACTGAAGGCTTGACCTGCAGCCTGTGTCAGATAGACGTCTGGAAGGAAAATATTCACTGAGAATGACTTTGTAGGACGGATGGTGGCACCTGTGCCTTTAGTGCCTGTGAATCTCACTATGTTTTGAAACAGAAATTTTTAGTGATTTAGAGCTGGAGTGCAATGAGAGTTTCACATTTGCAACCTAGACATGTATTTTGGTCATCACAGTCACTTATGCTGGCAAACAAAAGAGATACAGTTACAAAGTTATAAAGACTTGTCCCTGGTAGATGAAAATTAGGTATCAGATAACCAGAGTAAGGCAAACATGACATGGATCATGAAGAGTTTGTATTACTAATAACCACATTGCAGAGAGATAAGATATTTCAGGCGGCAGTTCTAGGAATATTTGTCACAGATGGATTTGAAATTCAATTGGACAGCATAAATGTTCAGAGAGTTAATGCTGGGAAAAGATTTTAGAAAGCAGCTAAAACTTAATGCTTCAAATTTAAATCAGTGTCTGCCAGCTGAGGAGTAACGACAGTCCTTTCTAGAGAGATGTCCTTAATAATGAGATTTCTCTGCGATTTCTTTTCAAGCATCTTGTGCTGGCCAGAGGACACCACAGTGCTAAAGCTCACACTCAGACAAAAGGAGTCCTCACATGAATGGAGGATCTTCCATCATTTTATACAACATTATTTAATATTTCTTTGTTAGAAGTAGAACAGGATTTGGCTTATTATGATCGATTGTTCCAGGTTATGTTTGCATGTTGTCCCAATCACTAGATGTTTTGCTTGATTGAGTCTGTAGTGTGTAATCACACCTCAATTAAATGTGGGTGTTACGGCCACGCTAATGCTGGCTCTGAGTCCCTGCTGTAAACCAGCACTGTATGCAAAGAAAATTATGTGTGTTGGTTAGTGCGGAGGAGCAGCTCAGCAGGGAGGACAGCAGTCAGCTGCAAACTCAGGTGAATGGGAAAGCATCTCTTAATGGGCATGGGATGCTTCCAAGCACAACTTTGCATCTCACTGCCTTTTTTTTTTTTTTCTGCTTTTACAGTTTGTTTTTTCTTCTTCTCTCTCCTCTAAGGTGCTTTGATAAGACAGTTCCTTCATCTGCCAATCTTCTCACCTCCTCTCTTTGTTTTGGGAACACGGTCTCTCTAGCCCCTGCCCTAGTCTGATGCCTCAAGTCCTCTATCAGGTGATGGATGAGGGGTAATGGTTTTAAGCTGAAAGGGAGCAGATTTTTATTAGATATTAGAAAGAAACCTTCCTGTGAGAGTGGTGAGACACTGGAACAGGTTGCCCAGGGAAGCTGTGGATGCCTCATCCCTGGAGGTGTTCAAGGCCAGGCTGGATGAGGCTTTGAGCAGCCTGGGCTAGTAGAGGGTGTCCCTGCCCATGGCAGGGGGGTTGGAACTCGATGGTTTTTAAGGGCCCTTCCAACCCAACCCATTCTATGATTCTATGATTTACCCCATCCTGCCACAATGAACAGCTCTGGGACAGTTTAAATAAATCAGTAATTAAGTTAGATTCCTGGTAGGAAATTATCTGCAATCTGTCATCAACCCTTTTACTTGTGAACATTTGTAGAACCACTGTGCTTTCACATCATTCTGTGAGATACTCTTACAGACACCTAAGATTTTGGTGTTTGTCCAAGTGTTACTGTGGTGGGTTAGCCATGACAGTTACTCACTAGTGACACAGGAGAGCCCATGTTCCTCAAAGCAGGTCCTCAAAGTTAGATCTCCCCACTTTGGCAGGAGCACTGGCCATCAACCTGTAGGGGCAGACTGAAAATGTGGCAAGGGATGCCCTCTGCTCCCACCTCCTAGGTCTGGGTCTCTCACTCACCATTCAGACAAAATCTTCACAAAGTCTGGAGATTTGGGCTCTTTTGCCAGTATGGGCTGCAGACACCCTCCAGCCAACCAGCCTTATGCTGCAGGGACAGCACAGTGGCAGCACTGCTGTTGGCCATGTTTCATGTTGATGTCCCTTGGGTCAGTGTACACTGAGGCAGCACTGGCCATGTAGCCTGGTCACGCCCTGTGTGCAGGCAATGGGTCACGAGGAACATGCTCAGAGGGAGCTCTGTGGCCCAAAAACACTGAATCATTATCACGAAGCATAGAATCATAGAACGGTTTGAGTTGGAAGGGACCTTAAAGTTCATCTAGTTCCAACCCCCCCAACATTGGTGGGGACACATCAGCATGTTCACAGGCTTGAGCTGACACACTAGTGTCCCCTAATAAGAGTCCACAGATCCACAGAAAAAGCTGTTGAAAAGCTAGAAAATAGCCTTGCCTGGGTGCCAGGCCCTGTGATTCTCATGGCAGTAATACATTCATGGTCTGTAGTCTAGTTGTTGGTCAGATCCCAAATATTGTTGCAAGAAGAGCCAAGCTTAGGATTTTTGACGCTAGACTGGTCCACAGGACACTGGACTCTGTCCATGCATACATAGTGCTGCGCACAGAAAGGTGATGGAGTGTGAAGTCTGGGGAGTGAGACTTGGCCAAGGCTTTCTCTCTGCCTCAGCCCTGTTCTGCACATGCTGTGCAGAAACCATGGATAGGCTTAGGGTCAAATAAAAAGGATTAGGCAGATGGACTGAATAGATAGGATGAGCTGGCTGAAAAGCTTTTCAGAGCTTTGTTTGAATTAGCAGAGCTGGCACTTAAACACTTCTGACGCATCAAACAGAAATTTCAAACACAGAAATGCCTGGTATCATTTCATCGTCCCGAGGAAGAGTTTCTGTAGAACCACTATGTACAAATTAGCTATTTTCAGAATGTGTTAATTCTCTAGTGAATTAAATATGAGAAAGATTTCGAACATGATGATAATAGTTTGTTAATCAAACAGTATTGTCTTGAAGACAATGATTTGCTGTGCACTTGCAAGATTAGCTACTCTGAGAGGATACAAAAAAAATTTTTGGAATTTTTTTTTGCCAGTTTTTTTCGTAAGTCCTTCATTTTATGACAACTACAGAGCTATTTGTCGTGTTCCAATATTACAGAACCAGAGGGGAACACATGTAAAGGAGCAAGGACTTTCCTTCTTTTTTTTGTAACTACCTCTAATTAAATCTTTGAAACCAGGAAAGCAGCTCATTGTCTGAAAGGCAGAGCACCATTAATCCCTCCCAAGTAGCTAGACAAGGCAGCACAGGACACAACTTGGTGACAATAATTAACTATAGAAATACAAGACTAGAGATGACTGTGAAAGCAACATTTCTGCAGAAAAGGAGCTGAATAGATATCTGGTCTGAAATCAAACATAAGTAAATTTTAGCTTGTTTCAACAGAAAGAGTTTGGGCGTCTGATGTGCCACTGTCCTTTGGGCACAGGTCATCCTGCCAGACAAGAGGATTGTGTAGACAACCTTACCAAGTCCCACCAAAGCAACAGTTATGTAGGACTCAAAAATCAAGACTTACATGCTAAACTCATGACACCCACACATACACAGAAAATACTGATTGTGTGATTTCTGATTCTTTGCCATTCCACCAATCTTTTCTCTGCATCTCAGACAGATAATATTTCTCTCATGGTCACATCATTCTGGGACAAGTGTTGGACAAAATTGCACAATACCACAAACTTTACCACCACCAAAATAGTATTTCTGTCTCCTAGAGCAGCCCAAACTGCTGGAAGTCAGAGTCCACCATGCAGTGGTTCTGCTGGCACGTGCCAGCGAAGATGAGTCTGGGATTTCTGTGTCTCTTTTTAATTTGCAACACAGGTAAGGACAATGGTTTGGTGCTCCCCAGGGAACAACCCAAGTGTCTCTTTCGCAATTGCTCCTGTAGGCCCATTCCCACATCTGTATCAGGCTTCTTTCTCTCACCCCATGTAGGCAAGGCTCCAGGGCTGGTGCCAGGCAACAGGGCAGACTAGATGATGGCAAAGGGCTACTCTTGGCTCCCATGCCATGAATCTGGAGTCAAAAGGGTTTATATGGAGAGATAAGGGTTAAAAGAGCTCTTACCACCTAGATTGTCAGTCCAAATTTAACTCATACTTAGTGAGAGTTGTTAATACAGCTGACTAGCCCCATATGAGGAGCCACGATTTATAGACCTTGTGCCATGGATTATCCATAGGATATTTCTCCTTACGTAGAAAGAGAGAAGGAGAAAGGAAAACGTATCCGGTTTTGTCTTCTGTACAAAGCATAGATTTTTGTATGAATAGGGACAAGCAGTTTCACCAGTTTAGGTACAAACAGCCAGATCATGCAGTCACATCTTCCTCTTTCCAGTCCTACAGATTTCCTCTTGATGAAGAGGAATCTGAACCCAGATTTTCTACTCCCTGGTGAGAGCTCTGCCCATTGGGTTATGACACAGAGCAGGGCAACACCATCACTGAGGTGAGCCCTCATCAGCACCAGCTCCCAGGAGAGGACTTCTCTCTGGGGAGCTTGGATGGACTGAGAAGCTGAAGCTTCAGAGATGCATGGGAGTTTAACATTTGCTGGCATTGGCTCATTTGGGGAGCCTTCTGAATAACTCTTTGGAGTCACTCAGCTCCCCGCTGATGGGATAGGGAACCTAAGCACCCATCTCCTGCACTCCAACTTGTTCTGTGATGTCTAAGTGGCTGCTCTGCACCTTGCCCTTGCTGGTCACTGAGGGAATCCCAGAAACAAGTCCAATCTCCTGAGACCAGCTCCAGTTCATTCCTCCTGCAACACAGCTCCTGAGAACAGCACTCAACTGAACGACTGCTCTGAATAACAAGCACGCACACAGCCTGTGAAGGTTTGTTTGTATTTGGCCTTATTACACCATGTACCTTGCAGACAGTGTTGCGTGCAAGCCTAGTGCAGACCTCTGCAACGGATTGCTACTATTTTTTTTTTTTCTCTTGAAAAAAATTAGTTAAGGGGGCAAGTACTTAAATTTAATCTGTTAAGCATCTCAACTGCTGTTGTGGATACTGAGTGGCCTGCTTGGCAGTGCTGATGTCCATCAGTTTCTGAGCTATTACAATGAGAGCAGCACAGTAACCCAGGCAGAGAGCTCAGCAAAGAGCTGCTTGGTGTCTCAACAGGGAAAACTGTTTCTCAGTCTCTTTCTTCACCATTACAGCTTCATGCATAAGAACAGAAAATAAGAAAGAGAAGCAAGTGGCAGTGCTGGCTACCGCAGGTAACAAGCAGCAAGTTGGAAGACGCTATGGGGGGGTGTTAACGGGAGTGGGAGGTGTTATGCTGGACACAGAGGTGGTGGGCACACGGGCCCTTCTGTGAGCCCCAGCCCACCACCGCTGCAAGGGCTTGCACAGGTCCCTGGCAAGTTTAACTTCCCTTCTTCCAGGAATCTAAAATGCTGTTTACTCTTTCTTTTCTCTCCTTTCCAGCTCTCCATTCCCTTTTGTTTTCCCTTTCCTCTCTTCCACACTATGGACGAGCCCTGCTTCCAGCCTTGGGGCACACCTTGGTTCCGAATTGGTTAAAAATAATACTGATGTCATTGGAAAATTGTATTTCTCCCCAAATTCGATTTTGTTCTCATCTCGGCTTTCTGTGCTTTTTTTTTTTCTGTCCTGCTCTGTTTTTTCTCTCTCAGTCATGCACATGCAGACCTTCCTCTTCGCACACACACAGAGATGCCATCCTGCTCTGCATCTTCACCACTTTGTCAGAGGGAAGCAAAATAACATCTTTGGAAATTTTGACTTGGGAAAAAACAAACAAGCAACATCAACAGGAAGAAAACATGTTAAAATAAAAAGTGTGATTCAGCTACAGTCAACTTATTCTGTCATAGCTGTATAGCCATTAAGGTAGCCGAAGAAAAAAAAATCTGCATTTTCATCACAGTTCTGTGTAGCTCTGAGGAAGGGGGAACATTTCCCGGGTACTTCCTCCTCCTTTTATAATGTGCAAAAAGAGCTCTGCTGCCATTTTGGCAGCAAATGCACATTGCCCAGCACATGGGGGCACCAAAATGTCAGGACTGGTTTCAGGTCCCTGGCAGCCTGCTCAGGAACGTGCTCACGGGGATAGGTGACATACAGCCCAATCTAAATTTTGCCCTACTTTATCTCATATGATTCTATAATTTTCCAGACTCCTCTCTGCACTCCTGGCATCTTTGTTTTCTCACCAACACATAATCTGCTCTTTTTTTTTTTTCCCATTCTGGAAGGCTTTTGCCCATATAAGCAGGGGATTAACGGCCATTTACTTGTGCCCCCATGCCACCAGCTGCTCAGAGACCCCTTCTTTTTCAGAGCTGCCTGCGAAGTCGGTGGACCTGGCTGCTATTAACCTGACAGAGCTGGTGAATGGTATGCTGAGCACGGCGCTCAGAGGTAATGGGATGAGGCTGGGCAGGTCACGCAGGCTGTCAGCCCGGCGGTGAATGAGATAAAGGGCTAACGGTGTTAGCAGGAGCAACCATAAATGCTGGTGGTTGCCTCCAGAATTGATTCTGGGAGCACGTTACCCTCATGCATTTATAATGCAGATAGCTCTCTGCCCCAAAGAATTTAGAAATTAATGTGTGTTTATATATAGACACAACATAATTACTTATGGGATGCCTTTAGAAAGCACTTTATAATCCAGTGTAGGTTTGAATTTAAAAAAAAAAATAAAATAAAAAGAAGTAATACAAATGATCCTTCCCCCCAGTGGAAATGAGAAAGAATTGATTCTCAGGCAGCTGCATAGTATCAGCACCTCAGGAGTCTTTTAGAAATTAAATGAGCAGAATCAAAACATGCTGTTCTCATAATTCATTCCGATCGTTAATAGCATAGGCATGTGTTTCTGCAGGTACCAAAAAACTCTTCTCTTTGCTGAGTGTCACGTCTTACAGCTCGTTTGCCTTCCACAAAGTGTCAGTCACCATCTATAACAGTGAGTGCCTCAGCGCTTTGTTCCGTGCAGGAGTGTTTTCTTTTACACAGCCTGTGCATTCAGATACTGATTTTTCTCTGTCTCTCCCTACAGTTTCTAATGTGAAAAACGTTGACCCTGGCAAGTTCCCTATGCATTACTGCTACTGTTTGAACAACATGACAAATGACTTGACAGGTGGGTACACAAGAGATGTTGGCAATTACATGTGCTGAAGCTGAATTGTTTCCTTTGGAGTGGAAAGCTGTAGCCTGAATTCTGCAGACTTCATCCTTACGAGCAGCATCGCCATACTGAGGTCAACAGCCATTACTCCCAACGAGTGGCTGCCCTGAACCTTGGGGGAAACTCGATGAACTCAGTGTCACTTGGCTGCACCCAACCAGCCAGTCTGGGATGGAGCCATCAGTCAAGTGCCCAGTATCCAGCGGAAAGACCTCCTTTTCCTCCTGGAAGTACAAACTACAGCACAGGAGAGACAGCCCAGCAATGTGTGATACGTTACCTGAGTCACTCACTCTCTCTCTCCTGAGATAACCCACAGGAGACGAACAAGGGCTTCTCTGCACCAACAGACTCCAGTGAGCCCAACAGGAGTGAAAAGCAAGGATTAATGTGTTCATAGAGCTGTTTAATAGCATGTAAAGTGCTGTTAGGCAAATCCTTCACCTATAATCCTCATTCACACCCCTGATCTCACAGTATTTAACATTCCAGGATGGGTCTGAGTGCTCTTATTCTATGTCTGGTTAATGTAAGATATTGAGAGTAGCTCAGCAGCTAGGGACCAGAACCCACACCTTCTCAGCTGTATGAGATGAGCACACACATGAGCCACAACAGCTTTTGTGGCTTTTTCTGGACCCACACATCTCACAAGCCTTATTGCATGATGACCAGTCTGCCTTGGAGGATAACGGAGAAACTTTAATCATTCTGCACCAAATCCAGAATATCCTGGTGATTAGAGCATCCTCCCAAGTAGTAAAAATTGAAGGCCAGCACAGTGCTCATGTCTGTCAGTCCCTAAGTGAGAACATTGACCTCTTACTGCTAGAACTTGTTATGAAAAAGTCGTACCACCACCACCACTATCCATTTTTCAATCTGACAACATCATCGGTATGCCTGAAGTAGACCCCAGAGGAGACCATCAGAGGCTTCCTGGGAGCTCCTATATGACAGATAGGCAAAGCCTGCAGGCTTTGGTTCTCCTTCTGCATTGAAACAGACTAAGTAGAGTGTTACTTCAGATTGTTCTCTTGAACGATAAATTCCATTTAAGCTTACTTTTAGTCACATTGGTGCTATTTTGGATATCATCTTTGGAATATACTTCTGCAGAGTATTCCAGTGGCTTCCTAAATCCGCTCCCATTCAGCAGAAACATTTTGAACTTAAAAATATTTTAAACATTGTCACATAAAAGCATATATCCAAAATATGATCACATATAAAGTGATTTTTTTACATAGCATAAATGATAAAATATGTGTTTTCAATCATAAACTTTCTCTATTTTGTTGTCTAGATTTTACAGCATTACTTGTTGATATTATTGGAAACTCCACCAGTTATCTCACAGAAATTTTCAAATCTACTTCTATTCTCTCAGGTTTGCATTTCCTTTTAACATTTATCATTGTCTTATTTGTCTGATTTTCTCCTGGCATGGAAACAAGCATAGAAATGTGTATAAAAGCCTATTGCTTTTACTCTGCAGCATTTTTCTTTCAAAGCATGGACTGCAATTGTAAACAAAATCTCCTTAGAGGAACAAGATATGTATATACTGTGTATATATAACACAGATACAAACATGTTTCTATGAGCAGCTATGTTTTGTTTGAAAGTTTAATTGTATTTGGGGGAATTATGATTTCCAAAGAATAATTATGGGCTATTTTATCTAAAGAATTTCTTTTCCATGTAAAAAATGCTTGTAATTTAGTATTCTAATTAGATAGAAACATTTCCCCTGGAAATATTAGGATTTGGATTTGGCACTGCTTCAAGGTTTTTGTCAAAAATCAGATCAGAAGGAAAATATTTGGCCAGTTGTAGTAGCCACATACCATTTGGTGTTTGTGTTTTCAACTGTTTAAGACAATATTGTATAATGAAAACCAGTAACAATAATTTGGTTTACATTTTTTTACCTTTCAGTGCGTCAGAGCAATGATTCAGATTGTATCTACATCTGTGTGATGACAGGACAGACAGGTAAGTGTTAAAACCATTCTTCCCCCAAATATTGCCCTGTTTAGTGTCAGTGATGACTTATACTGGAAACAAGCCTTTCTTGATATTTGTGAGCATTTCTATTTGCAGGAAGAAATCTGTCTGACTTTTGGGAAACACTGGAGAAGTCTCCTGTTATTAATTATACATTTTCCAGTAACACATCTTCTGACTTTGGTAAGTACATTCTGACGAACAAAAGGAAACAGCAATAACAATGAAAACCATGTCCAGGTAGCACTTGCAATGAATACTCCATCTTCACAATGTAAAACTATTTTTTAAATATTATTTTACACTTTTATTATTACTTATATATATTTATCCATTATTGTATATTTTATTATCATTAAAATAGAAAGATATATTATTATAAGTGTAATACAATATATTATAAATATAAGTAAAATTTACAAACTTTTAAATTATGAGCTATGAGGTCTTATAGTGGAGGAATGACCAAAACGTCCTGGGAAGAAGGCTTTTACAGAATTCAGCATTGGACTGGGGAGACTCCCTGATGCTCTTAATCTCAATGGGTACCTCCCTTAAATCTCAGCACAAATTATCTCCTACCTTTACATGAGTCATCTTCAGAAAGAATTTGAATATATTCAGCCAGTGTGCTGTGTGGCTCCTCCACCCGAAACTGCTTTGCCAGGTTGAGCTGCACTTCAGATACTCACCTCTCATTGCTGCCCATGACTATTTTTCTTTTTCAATACTTGATTATAACAGGCAGTCAGTGAAATCAGTGTCAAGTTCACCTGTGCTGAAAGCTGTAGGATGTTGCAGTCCTTTAAAAAAAATAATAGTCAAAGACACTTTGTGAAAAATGACTCTTATTTAAAAGGACAACAGCTGTTTCTTTTATACCAGAGCTTGATTTATTTTCTTTTGATTACATAATATGTGGTGGATGGTGAGTGTACTAACCCTACCTTCTCACACCTCAAAGATCTGGATTCAATTTTTTCAAGTGTCGTGAAATTACAGGAAGAACCAAACAAGATGGTGGATCCATCAGCAGAACGTGTGTGGACATTTAAAAGTGAGCAAAAATTGTCAGACCTAAATTTATATTCTCCTTGATTAACATCTTGACAAGTGATCATGCATGTTTGCTGCGCAGCACTGTGATGTTGAACTATAATTGCAGAGTACAATAAAAGCTTGTCCTAAACAGTAGATCAGGTCAATAATGCACTAAATAGCTGGAGGATAGAAAATTGTTGTAAAAAGCCATTTTTTTTCCATTTTGTTAGAAAAATAAATTTTCTAATGAGCTAGAGAAGTAAAAAAAAAAAAAAGAATATTTGTTTCTAAACCAAGAAAAACATTGTTCAAACTGTTTCCTCTCCATTCTTATTGCAAATTTTCTAATTTTTTTCCTCTGTCTTTATATGATGTTCAATTTTGAGTACCTGAACATTTCATAAACTTCAGTGTATTTAGCTTTGCCGCAAGGCTACAAGATAGAAAAGTGCTGGTCTGCCTCATTTTGAAAGCAGAAAAGCAGATCTTCACACTTGCTTCCACACAGTAAGAGCAAAGAAAATTTCAGAATTTTACTTCATACCTACAACAATATTTCTACATTTTCCCTAGTCAATCTGCTTATAAGCTCTTTTATTGTGCTCAACCGCATACCAATCATTGTTTTCTCTTCCAGCCCTGACTGTCACTCCTGCCACAAAATGTCATCAGTTCTTAAATTCCAGTATCTACCCTCCAGTACCTGCCTGCTCCCCTTCACATAGACAAGAGCTTTCATCTCTTTCTTCTGTAGTGAAGCCGTTTAAGAAATAAAAAATAATTTATGTGAAGAAAAAAAAAAAAGCAAATCACTCTGCAGGAACATTGCAGTTTATTTTTTTGTTTATGACAACTTGCACATTAAAATGTTCCCAGTTAAAATTTCAAACAATATTGTCACTCCCCATGTTTCCATATTTAAAATGGAATGGAGAGGTGACTGCTCACCTGCCAGGGGAAGCACTCAAGGACTAGATGGGATTTTCTGGGTGTATTTTAGGCATTATTGTCCCCCAGAGTGTTACGTTTGCTGCTGCTGTGGGGCACCAGTATCCCTAGTGTATTGCTGGTGCCCTCCCTCTTTGTCTCTGTCTCTCCTGCTTCTCCAGCTACCAGGATCCCTCTTGCCCAGAAAGGGCAGGAAATCCCCCCCACGAGGTTCCCACCATGGCCAAAGACATCTGGAGGGAAAGGATCAAGGTTTCCATCACTGCCCATTGATGATCCCAGACCCCAAGGCATGCCCGGACCCCCTGCAGCTGCTGGGGGGAGCTGGGCCCCATCGCCAGCCCTGCAGCCCAGCCCCGGTGAGTACAGCAACGAGGACTGAAGCCTGCTTTAACCTGCTCGTGGGGGGGTTTGGCCAAAAGCTGAAACCACATCTCTGAGGTTGAGGTTGGGAGGCCCTTCAGGGATACCCACTCTGGGTCACAAGTGAGTCAATTTCTTTATTGTAGAAGTGCTCAAATCAGTGATATTGTCCATCTGTTGTTTCTTACCCTTTAAGGAAAAACCAAGCCTTGGTCTTCATGCACACCTCTGCCACCCAGGTCTTCCCTCACGTTTTACTCCAAATTTGGTGAGCGGGCCTGTGGAAAAGCAATACAGAGCTGCTTCCTTGGTCTCAACTAAACATACCTTTGAATCCTTCCTTTCCCCAGCCCATAGGCTTTTCAAGATCTAGCAGAGTACAGCTTTCATCCTTCCTTTTTCATCTTGACATTTTTATATGCCACTGGAAGCACTGGGTGAGGGGCTCTGGTTGTTGAGCTGTCTCGTATATAGCAGTTCTCAGTAGACAGGTAAATAACAAATATCCTGAATGACGTGAAGCATGTGTCTTTCTGTTCCCGTAGCTGATGTGTATGCATTTTGGATGCAGACAGTGTCTCCTCAAGAAACCAGCAAACTGACGCAAACAGAGCCAGGTGAGATTGATCCGGGATAAGAACAAAGTGCCAGCTGGCACATTTATGGAACAGAAAATAATATGTATTCCAGTACTTCCAGTACTTAAAGGGGGCCTACAGGAGAGATCAGGAGGGACTCTTCATCACAGAGTGTAGCGACAGGACAAGGGGTAACAGTTATAAGCTGAAAGAGGATAGATATAGATTACGTATTAGGAGGAAGTTTTTTCCTCTGAAAGTGGTGAGACACTGGCCCAGGTTGCCCAGGGAAGCTGTGGATGCCCCATCCCTGGAGGGGTTCAAGGCCAGGCTGGATGAGGCTTTGAGCAACCTGGGCTAGTGGAGGGTGTCCCTGCCCATGGCAGGGGGGTTGGAACTTGATGATCTTTAAGGTCCCTTCCAACCCAAACCATTCTGTGATTCTATGATTTTATAGAGGAATAGATGACTGTGAATGTATTTATGCATCAATGTCTATATAATTGCTTATTAGTGATATGTGACTTCAGCTTTTTTTCTTTGTTACTCTTCAGTCAACCTTCTTTTATTTTTTTTTTTCCTGTTAAAATGCCAAGGTAACCTATGTACTTTTCCCTCCATTAGATTTGCCTTCCTCAGTACTGTCTACGCCACCCTACAGGCCTGGTGTGACACTGAAACTTTACCCAGCCACCAGTAAGTAGCTGCACCTCATGTAGCAAACCCAGTATTATTTTGAAAGTATATTGATATGCTAATTTTCCCACACAGAAACAAAATACATGTTTAATTTATGTGACACCTTATCTACTTAAAACACCCAAAAGGTATAAGGGACAGCTACCATATTTGTTTGTGCATCATACACAATCACACATTCAAAATATAAATTATAGTGTGGTGATAAAATTAACATATGGATTCCTTGTGTCAATTTTAGGATGGATTGGTTACTGGAGAATCTTAGAATTGTAGAATAATATATTGGACTAAATTGCAGGGGTCTTCAGTATCATTTGGACTTGATACTATAGATAAAACCAGAGGACTCCAAAGAACTAAAATGCCTCTTACCTTTTTCGAATGTCTGGACATCTAGGAAATAGAACAAAAATATAGATAATATGACCAAAAAAAGGGGATTTTTTGAGGGGGGTGAACATATTTGAGTCAGAGAAAAAAGTTATTTCAAAAATCTCTAATTTTTCTGTCACTGGGAATAATCACACAGTAAGTGAGCAGTAGTATCTTACAGCTTTCATGTCATTTGCTTTTTCCCTTGGCTTTGCTGTAGCCTATTGCAGCAATTCAACACCAGGATCCTGTGCTGTTACTTTTTGCAGCTTTTGCTGATTCTGATCAGGTTTTTCATAGTTCTCAGTCTTGTTCTGGCTCTCTTGAGTTTATCAGCAAATCTTGGGTTTCTTGTCTTCTTTTTTTTTTTTTCTTTTTTTTTTCTTTTTTTTTTCTTTTTTTTTTGATCGTACTATTATAAGAGAAAGAATTTGAGAACATACGACTCAGTGGGGCATCCATTTTCAGAAGTAAATAATGTTATCAGAGTTAAAAATACTGATAATGAAAAATGAAGTCTGACAGCAGCATCAAGTGATCATACAAAGAGAAGTCCTGCAGAAAGGCAGTGTTGGGGAAGAGGGGGAGGAAGCTATTGTCTTGGAGGTCTGAGAACACTGAAGTAAAAAAAACCCTATCTACTGGGACATGTTTCCAAGGAGAAGACTCTCTGGTGCCCAGTCAAGGAGCAGTTTTTGATGTAAGAGGCTTTTTGTACCATGGAGATAGAAAGCCAAATATCCTTTTTTGATCTTTCCCTCATTTTACTACTGTTTAAAGAGCTCAAAATACCAGAGTCCTCAAGTTACCCCCAAGACATACACTGGTTGCATGAAGAAAATGAGACAATGTCATATCACATGAATGCAGTTTGACTTCTTGATGCTCTTGATGCTGTGAAGAGAAGAATTTAAGATGAACTAGGTCTTCTTGTTTGGGAGCAGAAGAATATGCTGTGGTAATTCTCATCTGTCAAAAATTCTGCACAAAACCAAAGTTCTATGCATGTCTTTTTTGCTTTGGGTGAGTTTGACTAGAGGATTCAATAACAGCCAGCCAGCTGGAAGTTGCTGGAGTGTGCGACTGGACTTGTGGTGTGCTCAGTCCAGAGTTTGTTCATCTGCCAGTTGCTGTCTGGTGGGCAACTGGCAAACTGGAGAACTCCTGGACTGAGGAGGGGTAACTGGAGTTCCTGGAGAACTTAGGACTGGGAACTAGCCTGTTTTGAAAAGGCTGCGAAACATGGATTTCAATGAGATCAGAGACCGGAGAGTCACTAAATGCCTCTCCGTTAGAATCCATGATGACAGAGGCTGTCTACCTGCATACATCAATCATGCATTTGAGGAATTAAATAGTGGAATGGCAAAGCAATGAAGGGCACCCACAATGCTTTGAAGACTGAGCTGTTTTTCCAGGCAGTCGTTTCTTAAATCACGAAAGTGGATGCCGACTGTTAAAATATGCAAGTGTGAATATTAGAGCATGCAGGGAGTGATTGCGTAAATCCGAATTGTTCACAGTAGCCATAACATTGGTTTTCGTTGGCAGCAAAATTTAATCTTAGTGTCAGAGAGATGTGACATTGAGTTAATAACAGAAAGGTCTGTTTCCTGTAGAAAGCATTGGTCGCCTATCTGCCTGTGGCAGTACCATGGTAATTTCAAATAGACAAGAGCAAAGCTCTGCGCAGAGCGCTGTGGTTCCTGCATTTTCTGGACTGTTCTGATTGACTCGATTTCTTAGGAAAGAAAATTCCTAGAAAAGAAAGTTCTGAAATAAATTCCTACTTTTAATTATTTTTTAAAATTTCAGTCCAAATCTGTAGGAACTTATGAACTGAATATAAAAAAGTAATTTCACAGTAGAAACTGATTACAGAAACGATATAAAACATTACTATGAGGCACTGAAAATTTTAATTTCAACAATGTGATATAAATATACTATCCAATCCAAATAAAATTAAATGGAACATTAATTGAAAGAGAATTTCAGCATTAAATAAATACAGCATTATGTAAACACAGCATTAGTTTAAAGTTAAGTGATTGTCAAAAATGAAGCCCAAGGCAATTTGTTTAGCTTTCAGCTTTTGTATTTTACTTCTCTTTCCCACATAGATGAATTCAAATTTAAATTGTAGTTGTTCAATTTACATGTAGATAAAGCTGAATTTCTGCTGGCAAAGCAGACAGCTTGGGTAAAGCATTTAACACCTGTTAGGCAGGATAGTGGGCACTCACTTTGGTGGAGACTTTGAGATTCATTGGAGGGTGGCCTTTATCAAGATTTAATTACTCACAGCAACTCTAACATCCCTTTTCATGGACAACATATTAAAACCTCATTGTCACACGCTCTAATGTTTGGTTATTACCTTGAAGAGTGTTTATTAAAGCAAGAAATCATTCCTTTTTCTTTGCCATCAAGTGAAAAAAAATCCAGGTCTGCCAAACGCTATTAAGTGGACAAAGCCTAATGACATTTATGCAAAACTCCTAAGATTAAGATAAAGGGGGCTCCCTCTTGCCCATCCCTAAATGATTACATCTGATATTTGTGAAGCCCCTTTGTCACACAAGCAGTTTTCAGAGGGGCCCATGAGTTTAGGAGCTGCGTCTGCCCACTACTTCTCCATGACTTCTGATACCTTGGGCAGGCGCTGCCAGAAGAGAAATAGTTTCAGAGCTATTTCAGGTTGGCAGTGCCTTCATTTTCCTCCTGTCCATGAATGCCATTTTATATTAAACTTCTTGTCAGCTCTAGACGACTCAAGATTATTTCAACAGAACTTCATTAGTTCAAATTTAACCTCCGTAACCGCTCCTATCGCATAACATAAGCTGGCCCAAAGCTATAAAGCATGTGAGACATGTGAACCTGGAAATGCAATTACACTGTCTAAGGAGATTATACTCTGCAGGTAGGGCACTTTATCTACACATGGCCACAGCCTGGTGCGAGTTACAGAAATTGAAAAGTTGGTTGACAATCACACTGCAGCTGACGTCGCTCTGCAAGTTCGGGCTCTTCCATCCCAATGGGTGCATGTGAGGGGGACACCCACATCGTGCAGAATGTTCCCTCTCACAGCCTGGCCCCTGGTTATCTTTTCAGAGCCCCAGTGTGATGTTTGCAGGGATGTCCCTTGTTTTTCAGAGTACTGGTGTGGGGGAGACATCCCTTTGGAAGGATTACTGTATGCAGGGGACATTGCGATGTGTGTGTGTGGTCGCCAGGGCCAGAGGTGATGCCTCGCAGGACAGGCAGCTTCACTGCAGCAACCCAAAGTGTGCCCTCACACACAGCATCTCCTCTTCAGAGCACGGGTATCAGATATGCAAAGGAGAGGTGGTTACACACCTATTATAGACATGCCCCAATAGCCTTTTAGCATATTGTAAATATTGCTTTTTTTTTCCTAGCAAGTCCTTTGATTCTGACCCATCATAGCACAACTGTTAGCCAAGGTGCAAGACAATGTGTGACAGGTAATGCTTTGGAGAAGACAAGACTAAGTTTTTCTCTTCATATGATGAAGAAAAGCCCTGAAAAACTGAAAACAGCTTCAATTTTGCCTTACCTTTTCTCAATTTCCCCCATTTCTGCCTTGCCTTCTTTTCTCTTTACTATAACAGAAACGGAGTCTGAAGAGAGATTGTATTTGACACTGAAAAAACCTCACAGCAATTCAGGATGTTGTTACAAGCTGCCATCATCTATTCTGTAGTATTGCTCTTTTCTGCAGTCTGGCACAGCTGCAATTGCTGGTGGGATGAAATATTTGGTGTGCATATGTTTATCTCTTGCTGCTGACTGAAGAAGATTAAATTAAGAGAGTAAACTAGATATTTTCCTTTTAGTTGGCTCAAGAGAGGGGAAGAGGGTGTCCACTCCCAGGTACACCATTTCCTTGCATTTTTCTTAGGTTAAAATAATATGACGATTGTCACTTGAAGGAAAACACACTGGTTAACCAGCTGGGTCCTGGCAAATAATAAAATGGAGAAATTATTCCTACCTTCCTCTCAGTACAGGCAAAAATGGACCTTTTCTCCTCCACTTACTTGTCAGTTTTCATGAAACCTGTAGGAACGTATTTATCCGGAGGACCTTTACCCATCCCTAAAAATTGGGCTGAAATCAGCTGATTATTCAAGTCACTAGAAGCAAGAATGGGAAAACTGACAGAGAGACGGACAGAGAGAAAGCAACAACTGCTGCATAAATCATGATTATTTTGTTAATGAGGCTAAAAAAAAGTGATGGAGAGAGCAGTAAGAGTCATATTTAATCTAGGATTTAGATTTAGAGGGTGGGTGTGGGAAGCATGTGGAATTGGAACTGAGTTTTTCATTAAAGTAGCATATGCATATAGGAAATATCAAATATAATAAGAGTACAGTGCTGTTCTTTGCTTTGCTGTTTTGCACTGTGGATAATCCATGCTTCAGCGGCAACTCAACGTCCACCTAAACAGGTAACAATAAATAAATTACATCTTTAGCATTGTTCCTTGTGCTTGTGATAAATAAAAGCAATGTGGTTTTAAGTAACTAACCAGTAATGATAAATAATAATAAATTGAACAGATTATTTGTGCTTTCACTCAAGCAACTGCCAGGCTGTGTGCTGTTTTCAATTATCTGCCTCACTCAGATTTGATTCTAAGATACCTTCACGAGCTCATTAATCTGTGTGTTTCTCATAGCCCAGATAAGACATCGCAAGAATTTTAATGGGATAAGTATTTGAATTAGTTCAGAGTTGTATTTCTCCCCAGGGTGTCCACAGGCAATGCTCAAAGAGTCCCGTGTGACCTCGCCTCCCATCACCCTTATTGTGCAAAAGATCAATCCCTGTGTGATGGAGCTGTGTAGGTTTTTTCAGCTGTGCCTCTGTGTTGGTCAAAGAAGATATTCCAGAAAGGAAGCCATGAGGTAAAACCTGGCACTAGTTTCTCCTTCTCCCTGCTTAAAACACTCCATTGGGCTTTTTTTCAAATGACGATTTTCCAGGGCTTATTTCTGAGTGTGTGGCTACTGGCTGAGACCCAAATGGGTGCCCAGTGTACTGATCAATACCTGATCTGGCTTCCAGTATTCAAACTAAGTGAATAAATCTAAATTTTTCCAAATATCTAATGACATCATTGAGGTCAGAATCTAGGTTTTTCTTTCCGTAGTGAATATTAGCAGTATGATACACATACAGCTGTGCTTATGAAAGATAACAAGTCACTATTCCCCTAACTTTATCTTCAGGTACTGTGTTGAATACTATTCCTGGTTCTTGAAAAATGCAAGTTATGTCTGTGAAAGAGTCAAAAGAGTTGCTTACTCCCACAGTAAGTACATTTTCTCTTAAATCTCTGCATATCTTATTATGAAGGTATAATAAAAAGTTTTAGATATCCACAGTGTTTGCTGTCTTTCATCACATACCTATATTATCTGATAATGATTTTTTTAAGGGACTGAAAAAAAAAAACCAATTTAACCTTCATATATGTTTTTAGTATTTGCCTTGTAAAGCCTCATCTGACAGCAGTTTTCTTGTGTTCTTCCAGCATTAAAACAAAAATGCCTTAAAAACATCTGTACATCAGTCTAGAGCACTGAGGAATTTTACTGCAGATTGGAAGACTGGCGGCAGTTTTAGTTGTCTCTTTCATTTCTCAGTGTAAAAATCAGGATGCAACCTGTTATTTGCAAATATTTGTAACACAACAAGCTATGAACCAGATGTTAACCTAGAAACATGTCTTTTTTCAAGACATTGTAAAAATAATGTGTAAAACCAGATGTATTTTGTACAAGTGATGTAACTGCAATAAAAGCATTGAAAGGCTTTTAAAAATTGGATTTTGTAAAGCATATTTATATGATTCGCTAGTGAATGCACATAGATTATTCTACTTTTATTTACAATTAAAGTAATCAAAATGAAAAAATACAAAATAATTTAAAAGCAGCCTGAAATACTGAACAGAAGAGGACTTTCCTGGTGTTAAACACATACAGATTATCCATTACTTCAAAGCAAGAGTCTCCCACTACTTCAGCAACTCATCTAGTGCAGAACTCGACCAAGGAAACATTCATACCACTTGTACTCTCACTCTGTGCTATATTTGCATGAGCTCACCAAGGTTCCTGTCCTTCCTTATATACACCTCTGGTGACATAAAAGCCAGTTCCAAAAATCGAAAGAATAACAAAAACAAAAAAAAAATTGCACAATCCTATATTTTGCTACGCTGCAGCTATATGATGCCACTATCAACCCAAAGTACATCATCAAGACATTTATATTTCAAAAAAATAAGATTATTTGGACTGCAGCTGGTGCACATTGAAGTTTCACTGAAGATGTATGTGCTCAAAGTAATGTAAAGCCAAAGAGAACCGTGGCACCATAGGGAATGCTGCCCTCAGAGAGAGGTGGGTTGCAGCCACCCTCTTCCAAAATACATTTCACTGTGGTGCCCAATAGCATGACTGAAGCATTTCTGTGATACCACAGGATAGACTGGAGAGCAGTACCAATTACAGCTGATATGGAAAGTTAGGTCAGGAAGAAATAAGAATGTCAATACAGTGAATGTACAAATTAGGAATATTAGCATAGCCATGGTATGGCAGTGCTGTGGAGAGATGTCTCTCTACAGCACCTCCCCTCACCCAAGGCAGGATCAGTTCTGCTGTGAAGAGCTGGGTGAATTACACCTGTGTGCAACTGTTGCTTCTAAACTCACAAAAACTTCTTAAAGCCTGAAGACATGATTGAAAACTATAAATTGCAGAATCATAGAATCATAGAATGGTTTGGGTTGGAAGGGACCTTAAAAATCGAGTTCCAACCCCCCTGCCATGGGCAGGGACACCCTCCACTAGCCCATGTTGCTCAAAGCCTCATCCAGCCTGGCCTTGAACACCTCCAGGGATGGGGCATCCACAGCTTCTCTGGGCAACCTGTTCCAGTGCCTCACCAGCCTCATAGTAGAAAACTTCCTGCTAATATCTAATGTTCTTCATCTACCCTCTTTCAGCTTAAAGCTGTTACCCCTTGTCCTCTCACTAGACTCCCTATTAGAGTGCCTCCCCATCTCTCCTGTAGCCCCCTTCAGGTACTGGAAGGCTGCTAAAAGGTCTCTCCAGAGCCTTCTCTTCTCCAGGCTGAACAACCCCAACTCTCTCAGCCTGTCCTCATATGGGAGGTGCTCCAGACCTCTGATCATCTTTGTGGCTCTCCTCTGGACTTGCTCTGACAGGTCCATGTCTTTCTTGTGCTGAGGACTTCAGAGTTGGATACAGTACTCCAGGTGGGGTGTCATGACACTGGAGCAGAGGTCTTGGACCTAAGGTCTTGGAAAGGGCTGAGACCTACTGCCCAAGCATGTTCATGGGGAGAGAATTAGAAGGTATCACATAGTTATGGGTGTCTTGTGAAAGAAGCTGAGAAAGGATTAGCGGTACCTGGCCTGAATTACAGCCTTCTTGTCACGGTTGTTTAAGACTTAACTGTTTGGCTTTCCCAGGAGAAAATGAAAATTTATGAGAAAAACTACAAAATAAGAGTAGGAATGAAAAAGCAAGGCTCCATCAAAAACCTGAACACATTGGTTACCCTCAAAAAAAAAAAAATTTTTTTCATGCTCTAGGGTTTTCAGTCCTGCAAAGACTCTGGGCATGTTTGGCAGAAGTACAGAAATGATAAGCCCACCCTGATTTGTCAGGCTGAAAATGTTCGTCAAGGCAGTAAAAATGCATTTTGGTCAGTCCCTGGAGACTCCAAAACTCACATGAAAATTAATTTTCATATTATTAAGGCATAATTTCCGCCATGTTTCACTCTTCTGAAACGTTTCTTGATAGGGCTGGTCACAGAAATTTTATGGCTGGACCCTGTCCTTTTCCTGGCGATGTCAGTACTGAAGTGATATAGAATCAGAATCACTGAATGGTTGAGGTGGGAAGGGACCTCAAGAGGTCATGTGGTCCAACCCCCCTGCCCAAGCAGGGCCTCCTAGAACCAGTTGCCCAGGATCACGTCCAGATGGCTTTGGAATATCTCCAAAGGAGGAGAGTGGGAGAGAGACTCCACAACTTCTCTTCTGTACATGTGTCAGTGCTCAGTCACCCTCACAGTAAAAAAAGTGTTTTCTGATGTTCAGAGGAAACCTGTGCTTCAGTTTGAGCCCATTGCCTCTTGTCATGTTACTGGGCACCACCAAAAAGAGCCTGGCTCTGTCCTCTTTGCACCCTCCCATGAGGTATTTATAGGCAATGATGAGATCCCTCTGAGCCTTCTCTAGGTTGAAGAGTCCCAGCTCTTCCAGCCTTTCCTCATATGCAAGATACTCTAGTCCCTTAAACATCTTTGTGGCCACTCTTTGGACCGTCTCCAGTTTTTCCATGTCTGTTCCATACTGAGGAGCCCAAAACTGGACATAGCACTCCAGGTGTGGCTTCACCAGTCCCAAGCAGAAGGGAAGGATCTGCTGGAAGTACTTCGCCTAATGCAGCAGAGGATACCCTTGGCCTTCTCTGCTGCAAGGACACACTGCTTCCTCAAGTTGAACTTGGTGTCCACCAGGACCCCAGGTCCCTTTCTGCCTAGCCACTTTCCAGCTGGGTGGCCCCCAGCGTATATTGGTGGATGAGGTTGTACCTCCACAGGTGCTGGACTTTGCACTTCTTGTTGAACTTAATGTTCCTGTTGGCCCGTTTCTCCAGCCTGTTGAGGTCCCCCTGGATGGCAGCATGACCTTCTGGCATATTGGCAACTCCTCCCACTTCGGTGTCATCTGCAAACTTGCCGAGGGTAAGCTCTGCCCCAGCATCCAGATCATTAATGAAGATGTTAAGTAAGACTGGACCCAGTACTGACCACTGGAGCACACTTTAGTCACTGGCCTCCAACTAGACTTTGTGCCCCTGATCACCACCTTCTGGGCCTGGCCACTCAGTCAGTTTTGAGCCCACCTCACTGGGCTCATCCAGCACATGTATCAACAGCTTCTCTATGAGGATCTTATGGGAGACAGTGTCAAAGGCCTTTCTGAAGATGACGAGTTCACAAAGCCTTGGAGGACCCAAGCCTTTTGTTCATGTAAGTGTTTTTGCAATTCCCAATTTGTCAGACTTCTCAGTTTTCCATGCTAAAATTCAGTGGAGAGTTTGCCTTTGTTGATGGCATCTTTGAAGGGTAGCTGAGTCTGACCCTGGCAGAAAGCAGACCTTCCCAATGAGGAGAAGCCTTCCCAAAGCTCATTGACCCAACCTTCCCCTGGATTTCACCCAGCTCTGGATCAGAGCCACCATGGACAGATGAGAGCAGACTTCTCAACCCTGAGGAATGCCAGTGTTTAAGGCTGTATAAATTTTCACTCATCTTTCATCACTGAACACTACCTTTTGCTAAGCCATTAAAGCCATATTCACATGCCCCAGAGATTTTGTGAGTGATTAAGAACAATGAGATGATTGTTATTTAATTACAGACAAGAGTATTAGGGAAAGTTACTATACGGTGAATGCACCTGCAGAACAGACTTCTCAGTATAGATCCTGTATGTGGCTGGAGCTATATTACTAAGATACACTGTGAGCATAATGACTCTAAGGAATCTCATGGAGGGATTAATTAATAAATGTTGAAGTGGGTTTGAAAAAGGAAGCGATCACATGGGTGAGGTATATATACAAGTGGGTATAAATAACTTAGTACTGACTTTGCTGAAATCCATTTGTCCTCCATCCAACTGCTTTCGAATAATATCCCTCAAGGTAAGCATTTCTAGATGTACTCTATGACACAGGAATCGGGAAGAAAACAATGTAGAATAAGCTATTTGGGACTGTGGAGCTGCAGAACAAAGTGTAAGTAAGAGATTTAGGATAGTGGACTACAGATATTTAGAGCTGTCACATTTATAACCTCACTTTCTGATGAAATATTACAAGATTTTTTAACAAAAATGAATGCAATATTTGACTTTATACCTAAGGAAGCAGATAATCATCAGTAGATACATATTTAAAAGCTGATAAATAAATGTTCATGTATTTGGCTGTAAAAAACTCTGTGCCTGACTGACTTAGAAAATAATTCTTAATTTAGGGTGAACTGTGACTGTAGTTCAAATCCAATCTATTATCTGTCATTTAATGAATACTAGTGCAAGGCTTTAGCTTCAGAAGAATCCTTTATATATACATTTCTGTAAGGACAAGAACACATACAACTTGAAGATGTCAAAAAAACATAGTGTTTATGGTTACAAAAATATATGATATATTAGATCAATCTCAACACAGATTAGACTAAATGTTTGACTACTAAAGTGGGAGAGATTTTTGTGATGGTGAAGGATACTATTTTAATGTATTGCAGATTAACTGGGTTCAATAGAAGGAATCCCAGAATGTCTCTTCATTTACACAGTGTTTCACAATATCTGCACTTAAACATAATGTGAAGAATTGTTTAAACATCCTGTTAGATCAAGTAAGCTGTGAAAACTGTTTGCAAAACAAGAGAAACTTCAAGTACACCATTTTTTTGCTAAATGGACTTTCTCTGTGTATGGCACTTTGGCAGGGCCTGTTGACTCACCTAAAGCAATACCAAAATATTGTTAGTCAGGTTTAAAGATGGCATTGATAAAATTCAGAGTATAAATAGGGTTTATATTTTCTGTAATACTCGTGCTTAATATGATAAGGGTAAAAACTGCATTGCTTCAAGCAGAAATATGGCCGGGCTACAAAAATTTATTTTCTAAGCTGATGACTTTCCACTCTCACATTCAAGAGATAACGTTCTGCCTAATATTTTACTTAACTCACCAGGCACACCAGTCTGCTCTGTGACTTTTTCTTGTCTTTGGATTAAACCAAAAATGATTGTAATTCTGCTGGTGTCCATGTCAATGGTCTTGTACAGTGGTAAGTGGCCACGCATATTTATTATCATTTGACATCTATTCTTAAATACAATTTTAGGTATGTGCATTTGGAAACAATCCTTTAGAAGCATGCCTTCTATCCCCTCTAACCTAGTTGATCAAAACCTAAACTATAGAGTAGTTATAAAAGACGTTTTGCTCAGGACTTGTAGTGAAGCAAGAAACTTTAGTGGGCTTAAAAATATAACCAAAGTTTGCAACTTCCCTTCTGCTAGCATTTGGTCATTATTTAAGTCCTTTAAATGCAAAAAAAAAAAAAAAAAAAAAAGTCACAAATTACATATAAAGAGATTTTACTCATTAATTACATGTGTATTGTCTATATTTTCCAAACCATTCAGTGCACCTCGAAACATAACTGAAGTTCAGCTAAAACTCCTCCTTCAAACTTTACTTTGAATAGGTTTTTTTCTTTAAATAACTCTTTAGATTTATTGTCGTGGGTGAATGAGCTTCCCAGTGACAAGGATACACAAACATTTCAAATTTCTGCAGTTCCTGCCCTGTGTAGGAGTGTCATTAAGAGCAGTGGTGTGCAGTAGAGGTGTTAGACTCTCAGGAGGTCTAACACCATTTCTGGTTGCTCCATGGGGTTATTTCTAAAGTGAAAAGAAAGCCCAGCACCTTGGCATAGACAAAATCTCCACTGACTTACTCTAACCTTACCGGTTGCCTCTCTTCTAAGGGGCTGCATGCATTAGAAGTCAGTAAAGAAACAAGTCTAGCACAAAATGCATGGGGAAAATACACTAATGAAGCTGAACTTTAAGACTCCTCTTATACGAACAGAAATCATTAAGAATATTGGCACTTCCCACTGTGGTGACAGAGAATGCCAAAATACCTACACCATTTATTCATAAAAAATAAAGGAGTATTTGGCCCCAGATGTAAAGGGGACTATATATACTGATAATATCGAATGCACTCTATAGAAATAGACATTCCAAAAATTTTCTGACACAACATTTGAGAGAGATTTCCCCTCAAACCTCAAAAGGCTGTGCCACAGTTTTTAGATTCTTTTCCCACAGCTAAGCACAATCTGAGTGCAAAGAGTTAAGATGTTACCATTTTTAGGCTTGGAGAGGATTAGTGATTTATATTTCTGTAGGATCTATTCTGCTGATCTCTGCTTTGAGACTGAAGCAAATGTCTGTGCATGAACTAACATCTTTAGGAGGAGCTAATGCAATTTACCTTCAATAAATCTAATAGGTTGGGTTTGCTGCACCCTGACTTTACCTGTCACAATCAAGGTTTCTGCTCCCTGAGGATTTTAATGACTTATGTCCATGTCCCATATTATGACATTTTAATTAGGTATTGCCAAAAATAACTGGAGGTGCACTGATGTTTTTTTGATGGTCTTTTTTCAGATAACACTTCAGAAAAGCATTGTCAGAGTAGCAACATCACAGACACAGTCCAGAAATATTTTCACACGTATCTGAATGTTAAAAGAAATTCTGTGGGTAAGGCACACAGCTGGAAAGCCCAGGAGCTGATGTATCATACAAGTCTCCTCACGACATGTACCAAGTCATTTAGCAGGCTTTAGAGCAAGAAAAGTTGACCTCCCCAGGGTCTTCTGAGGTTTAAAGGATTGATTTTTGCAGTGCAATATTTCACTGGCTATACAGGGATCAGCGTAGGAACATTAGCCCCAAAAGACACGACAGCAAAGAAAAGAGAATAATCCACCCAGAAAGTATTTTCTCTTTGTCCCTTCCCCCACGATTTGAACAAAATTAAGCAATCTTGTTAGCAAACATTGGTCCACTGATCTTGACTCAGTGACAATTAGAAATATTGTTCGTAGTAATGAAAGGAATGAAAGATCCAAAGGTTTACTGACCTGCTGACCCTGTGGTAGAGATTTTTCTCCAGGGAGCTTCAGACACTCATGGGTTCACTGAGTATATGCAAATTAAGTTTGCTGAGAAGAACTAAGTGCAAGTGAAGGATGCTGGAACAATCACAACTTCCAGCAGTTCTGCAACGTGGCTTCATCAATTCTCTATCTCATTTCAACTCAATGGGATTTTCATGTTTTCCAAATTTTTGCTGAAAGGACTAAACAACCAGTGGCTATTTGCCAACAGAAGCTTGAATTTGAGCCATGTTTCAAAACCTGACTCTAGATGCACTTGACAGAACACGGGTGGGGATGGGGTGTTTGTCATTGCAGAGGAAACACAGGCTCTAAGACAGAAAATAAAGGACAGGTTTTCTTTAGCAAGCGTGGACAAATGTGTGTACAAATATATAGCATTCAATGCTATTTATTTTACAAGGCACAGTATTATTTTGCTTGAATCTGAATTCCTCATGTCCATCAAGCTTTCAACTGAGTCGTTCCAGTCCTGTGAAAAGGCCAGCCTTTACTGGGAGACCTGTTCTGGTCTGTGGAAAGCAGTCTGTTCCCCTCAGACCTGCAGCATTGAAGGACACTTCTGACGGATTGCTGATCATCTAAAAGCTTTTCATTGTGACCAAGACTTTCAGGAAAGCAGTAACATAAGAGGAAGTACCTCTTCCTACCTCCCTCAATCCCATATCCATATTCTGTCACTAAATTTGAGAAATTAATTGCTGGAGGCATATTGACTGTTACCAGGAACCTCTTGTTCACACCACAAAAATTATAGACATCCTGAGATGGCCCTTATATACAATCTAAAACAAAGTCCTATTTTTTCCTAATCCTTTGCTAAACATAGAGTTGAGACTTATATCTAAAAAACCCAGTACTCCCCTTGGCTCTCTTACACCTATATTCATTGCAGATTAGCAAGATAACTTTCAGCTCTTTCCCAAAATGGGAATGGACATCTTTCCTAATGCTAGTTAGCCTGAGACATAAGCTCTAACATGAATTTAACATTACTTTTTTTTCTTCAGTTTTTAGATCCTTCAGCCAATAAATACCCTTGACTTATTATCTTTAAAAAAAGTCAAGTTTAAACAAATCCAATGTAACATATCCCCTCCTAAAATCATGCAGAAGATAAGAACAAGGAAAAACAAAATGAAGGGAGAGAACAAGTATTAGATTTCATCCTAATTCAGGACATGGCAAAAAGAAAAAAAAAAAAGTGTGAAAAATCTACCACAGTATTTTCAAAAGGACAAAAAGATAATTAACTTAGGAAAGATGTAGTGATAGGAACAGAGGCAATAAGGTAATAGGCAAAAAGGACTCAGAGAAACCAGCCTGAACTCTGTTCACCAAGCTTTGAGGGCTTCTCCTGAGCTTGAGTCCTGGAGCTGCAGCTCCCATCTCTGCTGGAAGGTTTTTAGATAACCACACAGCAAAAAGCTAAGGAACAGAAAAGGTTGGCACTATACTGGGACAGCAAGCAGTTGCAGAGATTTTTGTGCAAACTCCTTGACTTCAAATAAGCAAAGAGCACAGCACTGCAGAGTAGAAACATTTGGGACAATGCAAGCACTTGGGCAACTAAAGCGCTTTTACACAATCCTACTAATTTATCCCAGTAAGTGCTACTGTTCAGAAGAGCATAGGAACACAAGGGTTAGCACATTCTCACTAGGAATACCTCTGTTCAACAGAAGATTGATTTTTTTTTTTTTTTTTTTTTTTTTAGACCAATGTGTGTTACCAGCATGTTTCTGGGCTTTCCTGGGTGCTGTTGGACCCAAGCGAATGTTTCATGGCTTTGATAAATCAGCTTGCTAGTTGTAGGAAGGTATTCAGAACAGTTATACTGCATGTGTCATAATGAAGTATATGTTTTTGTGGTGGGTTTTTAATTTTAAAATCTTTTTCTTCTCCAATTTGTTTGCTGAGGTAGGTGGCCAGGAACTGAAGCCACCAGCATTTCTGCCAGAGCTTCTTGACACACCTGAAAGAATCTTGAGTAAGAATGGTTTAAACTTTGTTTTCTACACTATGGCGTGGCAGTGGGGAATCACTCATACTCCAGGAGCATTGCAGGGAAGCATGCAGCTAGCAAATACTTAGGAACTCTTATTTCAAAATGGATTAACAATCAAAGCAAGACCGCAGGCAGTCAGGGAACAGTTTTGTCACCTACATTTTTTAAAAGAAGGGTGTCTTCTTTTTTTTTTTTTTTTTTCCATTTAGACAATGCCACACTCTTCAATGGAGTATTTCAAAATGTGGAAAGTGTTGCATTATTTTTTGGTGAGTATGTCTTCCAGTTGTAATTGAACACTGAATAAAAATCCTGTAGAGATTGCTATTTTATATATGCTGAGAAGGAACAGGGATTTTTGAGGGTGTAGATTTCCCCTAAGACTATCCTAATACAAAATACTGCTGAGTGTGAAGCATTGCTCAATGCCCCTGTGTTACTTTCTTGTTTAGGCTCTGTGTTCACGTGAAGGTCACCCATGTGCGACCCATGCCTGGCTCACCTCTGCTTACCGTACATTTTATGGCTATTTTCTTTACAGACTGCCTGGGTTCTCACTTCACCTGGTTACAATCCATCTTCACTAACTTCCCTGCTCTGCTCAACTTTGTGAACAAAATGAAGTGTGTTACTGGGTTTTGCCCCAGGGATTTTGAAGACTACGGTTGCTCTTGCCGGTTTGAGATGGAAGGGCTCCCTGTGGATGAAGTTGATGAGTAAGTCTTATTCATGAGATGTCCTCTTCTGCCCTGCTTGTCAGTGCGCTCATGTTCTGATGACCTGAAGCATAACACTTGCCTAAACTGTTTAAGGACACGTGTAAAAACAGAGAAGACTTCAGATGGTAAGAAAGTCCCACACCACCCAGATCTCTTTAACCTAGTCATCACTCAGTTGGAACCTAAATATCTGATATGACTCACAAAAGACAACTTCAGCAGGTTTATCAGTCCTGACCTGTGTTATTCCCACCTGCTAGTGAGCACTGTCTTTTTGCTGGGCCAACATCCAGTGCCAGTTGCCTTACAGCATGGCTTGGAAACAGATGAAGTCGAGGTGGTCAGAGCCTACAGCAGGTGATGATCCACTTGCTGCTTTGTTCTCATAGCTCAGACTCTTTCTTCATTTCCCCACACTTCAATGTGGAGAAACACTCCCATCCTGCAGGTAAATAAAAGCAGAGTCCCCCACACCTGCATGTAATTCCACCAGTGCAACTCTGTGGCACAGCTGGTTTCAACGAGTTGCAGGGTGGCCACTAACGCAATAGAATAAGTAAGCACCACACCCATCTCTCTGACATCTTACCCGGAGGTCTCTCAATTCTGAACAGATCTGTGAACAAAACCTCATTTACATTTCTTTGTACTGAGGAATTCTGTCTCACCCTTAAACTGGTGCCAGAACCTGGAGGGCTGTTAATCAGGTGAGTGGGAGAACACTAATCAGAGCAGGTTGGTGGGTTCACAATCTTACCAAACTGTTGGTATTGGAACTGTGTAATACAACAGCAAGGTAAGCTCATAGTGAAGTATAATGAAAATGTTTGCAACTGAGGGGGGATTTAAGCATCAACAGAATCAGGTTACAGCTAAGTATGACTGCAAGGGGCAGCTAGGAGGTTAAGCAGATCTTCCCCTGAATACCTGTCTACGTGCTGAGGTCGTACGACACTGGAGCACAGAAAAGGACAATGTATCTCCATGGCTCTTCCTCATACCATGTACCACCAGGAACAAACCCATCCAAACTCCACTCTGTGCTTTGGAGAGATAATGCCCCAGGCCCTGGCTGGGCTAGTGAGAAAAAAATGTAGTCTCAGGCCAGGACAATCAAATGGATGTTCACTTCTGCCAGCAGGAGGTGGGAAAAGAAATTCAAAGATAATCAAGATTCATCCATGCCTAAATACAAAAAAGGTTTTTCTAGTAGCGTAATGTAGTAATTCCCTGAGTGAAGACAGTAATGGCTCAGAAAGGGCTAGTTCCTACAGCTAGATGGAAATAATTCCATCCAGTCTCTAGCATGGGATGGTTGGGAAAATGAAGGTCTAACTCTGCTACTGGAAAAAAGCCATGGGACTTTATGAAAGATTTTCTAAACAATCGTGATGACATGCTGAAATGAGAGCTCGGGTCTGTTCAATGGACTGATACCTGAAAAGCTGAGCACCTGGGCTTTCGCTTCACTCAGCTTCGTTTTCATGCAGAGCAGCATAAATACAGAAACAGCAGAATGATCTGTCAGCAGCTTGTCCTGAGAAAAGGCCACGGAATCACTTTGTATTTACAAATGGGTTAGCAGTCCTGCTGGGAAGCTTCCTGAGCAGCAGGGCAACTCCACTGCCCTTGTTTTACCACCGACACAGACATGCCCTTGGTTCCAGAGAGCCTCCAAACAGGTGGCTGCTACATGCTCACAGTTCCCACAGTGCTGCAATTTTGTCACTAACTTTATTTCTTAGAAACTAGTTTTGCAAACCTCATATTTTGTTGCTGCCCTTTCTGTTCCATAAAAAAGGGCTGAACTCACTGTGGGTTTTTAAGGTATTGGAGAATGTGCCCATAAGCCCAACCTTTTTCCATTTCCCAGAGCAGCTAATTGTTACATCTAAATTAAGAACCTAGTCGACCTCCATAATCTATGGGGCAAGACAGAAGCATGTCCAGAGGACAGTCCATGTCTTACAATACCCTGCTTGCAAAAGGAAGGCAAGTAAATTTTCTGATTAGGTGCTAATGTAACTGTGATACTCTAAACTAACAAGAAGTGAAGGATATTTCTATTAGACTAATTATGCAGGTAGAGAAGGTCTCAAGTGCTGATACCTCACTAGACCTCAGGCAGACAGGAATAGGTCCTGAGGCATTTCATGAGCTCTAGGTTTAAAACCCTGTTCTTGATGGAGCTTGCAAACTTCAGCCTCACCTCTGAAACATGGCACAGTGGTATGGAGGAACCACAGGGGTTCTCTGCTGAGTGCCATTCGCCCTCACCTTTGTTCAATACATTCCTGCAGTCTCCTAGACCAGGTTACAGCAGGGACACCAGAGTACAAGAAATTTGGCTTTGAAACTTCATCAGCTGAGATCACACTGTTCATGAGCTCTGATCTGCTGCTGGGAACCTGAGCAAAGCTCATCACTGATGTCTTTCACCAAGTTAGGACAGTTAGGACTTGGACTGCTTCCACGGTTGTCAGGACAAATTAAATATTGTAAAAATTATTTATTAATATAGTAAGCGATTAAATATTAAATGTTTCCTAAATATGGGAAGTGAGAAAGTGGCTGCGTAGCCTAGAAGGGAGCCTGTGGGGGCAGGCATTTGCTCCCTGCTCTGGTCAGTGCAGGAGTGCTTCTGTCCACCGGTGGGTTCAGTACATACGCAGGGCTGCAGGTAGCGTGTAGTGACACATTCACTCTGTCTTCAGCAAAAATCCCACATGAGCTTAACTAAAGTTAACTCCTTACATTGCGATCACAAGTTAACCCTTCCTGGCAGCAGATGCTGGTTTTTAGTGTTCATGTTAAAGTCTTTGCTTTCAGTGTAGTCAAAACCAAAGGCAACTCAATAACAGACCCATGTTCTGAGTCCCTTTCTCTGAAATGAGGATGTTTCAATCCAAATCTAACAACAAGTGCCTGCTTAATTTATGTAACAATTTTGTATGGAGTAAACGATGACCAAATGTTTTACTGGTGTTTCGTTTATAGCTGATGTCAGTGCACAGAAATGTTGCTGTAATATAAAGTAGAGGGCTTGCCTGTTCAAAAACAGATGAACAGAAGAGAGGGTTGATAAAGAGCTTGTTGTTTTTGACTTCCCATTGCTATTCACAGCTAACACAGTCATAAACTGTTTGGGGTTTGCATGACAGCAGGGGTGAAGGAAAATGCAAGGTTTCTAACTGACATTGTTGTTCGGTGGTAGGAGAAAGCTGTGTTACTCTGCTGTGAGAAGCATATTTCATGGCCTCTTCCCTTGGCTAAACGGTGCATTTTAATTCTGCTTGTTGCATAGAAGAGAAAGTACAAGAAACAGGGGATAATGCCAAACATATTCATACAGTTCCAATGAGACACAGGGATTCACAAGGTGTTGCAGAGACATCGACCCTCCATGAGTGCCAGGTCTTGTGTAGTTCTCCAAATCTGCAGTGAGAAAGGTTGTGGTAGGGCTGGAGCCAAGACCTTCAGACTTGAGTAGTGGAGCAATGAGATGACAGTGCAATGGGTGGATCCAAATCTGCAGTGAGAAAGGTTGTGGTAGGGCTGGAGCCAAGACCTTCAGACTTGAGTAGTGGAGCACTGTTTGGCAATGAGATGACAGTGCAGTGGGTGGATATTTGGGCACTGATAGTGGATTTCTTATTTGAACTGCCTGTACAGTCCTCGTAAGACCTCAGGTACCACAGGAGGAGAGAAATGTAAGAGTGGTCTCCCACAGCACGCAGACCTGTTAGCACTGCTGAGTTTTGCATCCAGCTGTACTTATCCCACGAGGCTGACTCGGGGAAAAGCAGTACTAAGCCTTTCTCATGTCTAGGGATAGTACTGAGGACCTTTTTTTTTCCCTTTTTTGACATCTTTTGCATTCTTGTGTAAGAGCGACACGAAAGCACTGCAGTCTGATCTTGAACTGAAACTAAATTGTGTGAACTTTGTGTTATTTCATTTTTTAAGCTGCTGTTTCCAGCATCGCAAATGCTACGAGGAAGCAACGGAGATGGAGTGCACATGGGACCCACCAAAGATTTCTACAGACATCAGCTGCTCTACAGAAAACCTAACGTGTGGTAAGAGCAATCACAAGAGCGTCATACTGGAGCCTCACCGTGACTGAGAAGTTCATTCTGGTCTATCTACCAAAAAGTCATATATAAATTAAGTAGAAACCACATCCACTTGTGGGTTTTTAAGGAATTAAGTGCTCTGCTCAGGGGTGAATGGAAATAGGAATACACAGAGGCATCGAAGCCCAACCAGGCAGGAAAACTCAAGCCCAGTAACTAGAAACTTGCCAGGGCGCCTCTAGCAGGCAGCCTCTTGCTGAGGTTTCCCTGACTTTGCAGGACCACTAAGCATGGCTTGAGACATCTCCACACATCAGAAATGCAGCAGATGCCAGGGAAAGACCTGAAAAACATTTCCCTTCTGAAGCTTCAAGGCCTGATTTTTATATACTTTGGGGATCCAATTCTCTGTTCACAGGGTTACATACACTCCTCAGCTACAACAATATCACCAAGGAGGGCAGAGACCATGCCGTTATAATGGGAGCTACTCCATGTAATAACAGTAAAGTGCAAAGTGGGGCTCTTCAATGCCTAATCATTTTTAATACATTTTTTTCAGATTATTGGCTATCAGAAAAGACTATATGCTAGAACATGATTTGAGGATACTAGCGAAGAGGAGCAGAATCCCCAAAACAATAATCTTACAGCTTGCTTAAGCAACAGCCTGATCTAATTTCCTTTTCTTGCTTCAAATTAAAGCCATTTTTGCTCTTTAGGCCAACCTATAAAGACTCAAGCACATTTAAACATGAATAATGATTTTCTAGCTCTTTCCATACTTAATAATCAAAGCATTTTGTTCAAACTAAAATAAAGGGGGAAAAAAAAGAACAGTCCCCATCAAAAATATGAAACGTAAGTGTGACAGCTATGAAAGGTCAATGGTTTTTTTTTTTGAAACCCTGAAAGGCAGAAGGTTTTGAAGTGGTAAAATAGTATTTCCTGGGAAACAGTTTCATATCATTTATAAGAAGCCAAACACATCTTACATGAAAGGTTTGTCTTGTGGACTATGACTTCTTGAGGTTAGGAGGAATATTTTAATGAATTCTGTGAAATGTCAAACCCAGTATCAGCCGGATTAAGTTTTCTGTGGAACAACTGGAGGCAGCAAAGCACTGCTCTGTAGTCCTCACTACTCTGCAGAATGAACTGGCACAGGCAAGAAGTCAATTGCCAGCTGTGTCAGAGTGCATTGGATGGCGTTTCAAAAACAAATGGTGTTGGACTAACAAATTATAAACTGTGTTTAACGTGAAGAAGCACAGTGTAAATAGGTTTGCACTGATGAATATAGATACAAACCTTTCAGGGAGGAAAAAGGAGGCAGAAAAGATATTTCAATAGTATTTTGTTTGTATTTTTGCTTTATTTCCAGAGTCTGGGGATCCCTGTGAACGGTTCCTCTGCAATTGCGACAAAGATGCCATTGAATGCTTTATGAACGCACATATTAACTCTTCCCTGAATGGGCTGGATGTCTCCTTCTGTCCATCTCCAGTTACAGGTAATAATCAGGATCTGACCTCCTCCTGCCCGTTTTTTTGACCCAGTGAGAATGAAGCAGTAGCTGGTGCTTTCCTGCATTAGATCTGTCAGTCTGTCCTATTCTCCGTTTCATGTGTCCTTTCCACTTACTGCTACTCAAGTGAATACCAGGAGAGAAGCTGTACTGGAGCAAGTCCAGGAGAGGTTACCAATCTCATGGGCTAGAGCACATGATGAAAGAGGAGGAGGCTCAGAGGAGATCTTTTTGCTGTCCTCAATACCTCGTGGGGCATGTAGAGAAGATGGAGACAGACTCTTCCTGGATGTGCACGGGGTCAGGACATGAGGCAAGAGACATAACTGCAACAGGGAAATTCCAGTTAGATATGAATAATTTTTTTTTTTTTTTTTTTTTTTTTTTTCAGGAGGCTTTAGTCAGCCTTGTGAGGCTTTTGTCAACCTGAATGATTGGGTGATATTTGGGATGAAGAGTTACCTATGGAGGTCATCATAATGCCAAACTGAAAATACTGCTAGCTCAAATCTCCCCTTATATCTTGCAAAAACTAACTGGAAAGGCAAATATAGACCTACTCTGCTTTGTAGCTTGGTTTCCATCTTGGAAGGAAAAATCCTCTCTAAAGATGAAGGGGATATTTATCTCCATTGTCATACACCGATCTGTGCTCTGTGGCTGAAATTACAACCTTGTAAGACTGAATACCTGTCCTGTGGGAACAGAGCTGGATTAAAAACTTAATTCATATGGATTGAAATTAGAGCATGGCAGGGGGAGGACCTTTGAACTCCCAGCTGAGACAGACATGAGAAATCAATGCTAGTTTTTCTAATCCCTTGACTCCTATTCACACATCCCAGTGCTAGGCACAGATATACACATCTATATCATGCTCTGGCTATGTGCATTCCTTCATGAATAGGCCAAGGAAGAAGAAAACACCACAGGAAAGTTAGCATCAAAGCCAGCGAATTGTGTACAACAGTAACCTTTCACTGGGATCAGATGTCTCTCATATAAAGTACATCAGTTCCAACGCATTACAAATAAAGGAGAAATTGTTAGGTGTTAACAGGAAAATCACACTGATTTTACCACTGCTGATAAAGATAGATTCAATACTAGCTCCCTAAATAGCTCTGCTAATTTTAGGCTCCTGATTATATTTCTTAATGGGAAAAAAAATTCCTTTGAATGAAGCATTTTTATTTAGTGTTCACTGATGTTATTATCTTTCTGTGTAGCTGTTCTGTCCAGTTCAGGCTTTGAAAAAAAAAATATTAATCCTATCTAACAAATTTCTAGGAAAAGGATTTTGGTAGATGCTTTATTACAGAGAAAAATATGAAGGAAATGAGGATATACTTGCCTAAAATTTTGCTTCAACAGGAATAAAATCAATGAACTCCTGATTTGTCGTACTATTCAGATTAAAATATGACAACCCCCCTCCTCACACTGCAGCCTATGACAGAGCTTTCTCCTTTTCAGAAACAACCAGCAAGAGGGAGAAGACAAGACTTCCAATGGAGGGTATGTCCTTATCTGTGTAATTCTTTGACTGGGGTATATTAAATCAAGATAAATTTATACACAGAAAAATAACATGAGTATTTTAGAAGGTATTAATTCCTTTCTGAGAAGCAAAGACAAGTTTTAGCAAGATGTCAAAAGGAAGAGAAAAAAGCCTAATAAACTAAAGCACCATTTTTAGGATGAGCTTTTACACGGGTGCACAGGAACATTTCAGACAAATGACTCCTTTTTCTGAGAAGGTATTCAGAAGAGAACCTTGCATCCCATTTATAAATAAGAAGAAAAACACTAAAAGCTTATTTAAAATATTTTCTGATGGATCCTTTTCTATTTTGCATGCGCATTTAAGGTCCTGCTTCAGCAAGATTCCTAGTGAAGTGCCCAGATTTAAACTTTTATGCTTTATGTTTAAATGTTTAATTGTTATCCTCATATCTTCACTACAGGCCATGCTTTATGTTTAAATGTTTAATTGTTATCTTCACTACAGGCCGCCTATTTAAGTATCTGCTGAAATGGGAATTTAAAGAATTGCTGATTGTTTAGGTTGAAACTCTCTGTGATAGAGACTGAGGGCTTTTTTTTTTAATACTGTACATTGCTGAGCAGAATTTAGTATCAGCAGTGAATAAGTAATAAGGCTGGATTTCAATACTGTTACTGTAACTATCAATAATTAGGTTTGTACTTTCTACAATTATATCATATAATAACCCTACAAAAAGCACAGTAGTAATAATATTTATAAATTAGTTCATGTTATGCCAAGATCCTGTCTAACAAGCATCCTAACTCTGGAGTAATAATGCTTTAATTTTGCAGAGTTCCTTCATCATGACACTGACAAAACACCGGCTGCAACTGCATCCATGGAAGAAGGTTTGCAACTTACTGTGCAAGCAGCACTGTTTTGAGTTCCCAAAAGCTTAAAGAATAAAATACAAGGATAAGCTTTGCTTTCTTTCAACCCTTCTAAAAAAACTTTTATAAAAGTAGATATAATGTTTTGGTGATCAAGTTCAGGACTGAATGAGAAGGTGTAACTTTTCAATTTGTGCATGCAACGTGCTTCACCAGTGCTTACAGTAAGTTTCCCAAGGGCTGAGAACGAGCACTCTATGACAAAACCTGTTCTCATCCAAACAGACTTTTTTTTTTTTTCCCTGGGAACACAGGTTGCAGCAGGTGAGCTGTTTGGCAGAGATGTGCTGTATGGGTTCCGACCACTGCACCCACAGCCAATGGCATATTTGTTTAATTATACAAGATCAAGCAATAGCACAAGGAAAGACTGAGCGTGGTTTGTTGCAAACGAGCCAGTAGTTTGGTGGTTTATTTCCTTGCAATGTAGAGATCCAGGTTGAAGTCCCTCACACTCTGGTGTCTCCTAGGTGAGTTCCTAAACCACAAGACCAAGTGGTTCTTCTGACAGTCTTATTTTTTTTCTGCTACAATCAATGGTTATCTTGTCCAGAAATGTGTGTTTGCAAAATCTCATTGCTGCCAGTACGAGAAAACTATTCTCTTCCTACCAGCATGGTGCGCACTACAACACAAGAGGCCATGGACAGAAGTCATCCAAAGCCCTGGGTGGCCCTGGGAGGGCACAACTAGTGTGTGAGGGCCAAGGCACACAGTAGTGAAATAGAAATGGAGACCAGTCTCGGACCATCCAGTGTCCAGTTTGGCTGATGCACTCTTGTCATGTGGCCCCATCACAAGCAAAGTCATACTGTCACGGACAGAGACCCTGGAGCTGCCACGCGCACAAGCAGCGCGCACCGGATGGGTGCGACCAAGCCACTGCTCAGCTCGGAGAAACTCTGGAGTTATTTGTGGGGGTAGGGAGAGGTGGAAAGTTGGACTTTTTGAGAACTTAAGAACCTGGTTTCAAGCTGTAGTGTGCTCCTCCATGTTGCTCCAAGTGAGCCATTGCCATAAGCATGAATCTGGAACAATGAAAAACCATATGGATTTTGGTTTTGTTTTTTTCTCTCTTTTTTGGTCTTTTTTAATTAAAGTGCCACATGCATGGGAGCCCCTATCTGAAAAGGCTTTATGCTGAGTGTAAGTGTTGGCTGTTCCTTCACACTGTAACATCAAGGTGTTGTTTTTCTTTGGTTTGTTTGGTTTTTTTTTTTCCAAATATTTATTTTTCTCACCTAACAACAGCTCCAGTCTTGGTTCATGTTTTTTTTCTAGCTGTTTCTGGGAGGCTTGGTGATAGAAAACTGAGAACTCCTGAAGGAGTGAGTGCACCCGTACTTGCACATTTTACTTCCTGAAAAAAATTATTGTTTGTGCTCCCTGAAGAGGCATAATCTCATCACAAGGCTGAAAATATTGCCAAGGGATAAAAACCTCTATTAGGAATTTTAGAAAGCTGAAAACATATCACAGATAACATATCCGGTCAGACCTTGAAGGAAACATTTGGAGATCCACTTAGCATTTAACTAGTTGTCTCCCCATTTAAGCCCAAGCTTCCCCATTGACAGCTGTGAGAATTGCATTAAATCAAATGCAGAAACTCCCTCAAAGGCAAAGCAATTCTTCTTCACATCACAACATCCTAACAACACACAGAAAGATGCAGAGATGATTTTTTGGCTCATTTGATAGCTATGCTTATAATTTATCAAAAGGTAGATAACAAATGAAAATCATTTTATCAGGTAAAGAAATAAATCAGAGGTTAGGGAAATATTTGGCCTTGTAGCTGCCCATGCCTGCTTGACTATCAGTACAGGCAAACACAAGGTGTTCACAGGAAATGTGGCGTCTTTCTGTGTGCAACAGTGAGATTTCAGATCCAATCCACTTAAGTGTACTTGTCTGTCAAATGAATTTAATACTGAATTTACCACATCAGTCAAATTTATGCTGCTTCTTTGACAGTGTAAGACACATAATTTGAAAGCAGCAATGAGATTATTTTACCAGTATCACTTTGTCTTCAACAATCAATGCACCACTGAGAAAAACAACTCTCCATACA